ATACTTTTTCAGATATATGATTTGCAAAAAATTTCTCTCTGTTTTTGTTGTTGTTTTTTTTTTCTTGTTAGTGTCCTTTGAAGCATACAACTTTCAAATTTTGATGATATCAATATGTTTATTTTCCATTTGTTGCTTGGTATGTGTTTTATATACCTAAAAATGTAGATAGACTTTTAAAATATATATTGTGAAATGTTTTAAAATAATGTTTACTTTTGTCAATGAATATTTTATTTTATTGTGGTAAAATATACTATACTGTAGTATAAGCATGTCAAACTCAAAGGCTAACACAGGCCAGATAAACAAGGTTTAAGTTTATGTAGGCTGCAAAAAAACAAAAGCTTCAATTTTTATAAAAACATAGTTTATTTTGGTAGAGACATGCTGAATACAAAGGGCTGAAATAAATTAGTATTTTTTAACATAAATTTTATGTTTTATTTAAATAAAAATTAATATTTTTTCTTGAACATTAACTTACCAGACACTGAAAAACTGTACAAATTTATAAGTGTAATGCAAATAAACCTATTTTTCTTGTTCTCTGAAAGCAAAATAATTTCTGTTGTACACACTAAACAAGTCAGTCCAAGACTAATGACATGGCAATTGGCTGCTAAAATATTCGCTGCTAGTATTAGCAGAAAGAAATGGTGTGCCTGAACGTAAGGCACATAAGGGAAATGAATGCAACATGATATGGTAATCAGTCATTAGCGAATATTATAGTTTGTCATTAATAACTAGTAATGTGGTGCACGGATTTGTGTACTGGTGGGGTCCCTCAGCCTGACCTGCAAGAATTGGGCGGAAACCAGCTCTCTGACAGCCCCTGAAGGGTCCTGGATTGTGAGAGGGTGCAGACCAGGCTGAGGGACTTCACCAATGCAAGATTGGGGCCCAGGAGAGACTGTTGGAAGATTCCAGGGCATGTCTAGCCTGCATCACCGGGTTCTGATCAGCCAGACCCCAGCAGCAAGCTAACCTACTTGGTTAGTGAGTGTCATAGCTAGTGGTCAAATGTTTGAACAGTCAGAAACTTAGCCTATTAGGTTTTTATATATATAAATTATGTATAACGGATTAAGTTATGAAATTTTTATTAAAATGTTTCTTACATACCATTATATTTGTCGGGCCACAAAAATATTCATTGTAGGCTACATGTGGACCATGGGCCACGAGTTTGACATGCTTGCTAGGGATTTCATAACAAGTTAAGCACCATGTTAGTCATCAGTGACTGACACTATACTTTCCGTTTGGACCTTGTCAGTCTCCAATCTCCAGCATATTGGTAAAATCAGATATTGTGGGCTAAATGGAAAGGAAGACAAAACAGGCTTGGAGCTTAACATGCCAACAGAATTTTATTTTCTCATAATTCTGGAGGCTGGAAGTCCATGATCAAGGTGTTGGCAGGACTGGTTTCTTCTAAGGCCTTGATTTATAGATGGTCTAGTACCCCAGTGTCTTCATGTGGTCTTTACTTGTCTCTGTTCTAGTCTCCTCTTCATATAAAGACACTATTATATTGGATTAGGGCCCAACCATAATGACTCATTTTAACCTTAATGACTTCTTTAAAGACCCTTTCTCCCAATATAGTAACATTCTGAGGTACTCAAGATTAGGGCTTCAACCTACAATTTAGAGGAGGGCACAATTCAGCCATAACATATACATAACAAAATTTATCACTCTAACCATTTTAAGTGCATGGTTCAGTGGCATTATGTACATTACATTATTATGTAGCAATCACCACCATCCATCTCCAGAACTTTTTTAAATCTTTCAATATTGAAACTCTAACCATCTATACTAATAAAAAAGTAATATGCTAATTAGACCAGGGGACCTTCCAGACATCCTTCTGGACAAAGCTGTGGTGCCAGGACCGAGGCAGAGGTAGTTAGGGGTGATCAGGCCAGGAGGGGAGGACAACTGGGGGTGATCAGGTTAGCAGGGGTGGGGGTGGCAGTTGGGGGCAATCAGGCCAGCAGAGAGGAGCCAGATGGGGGCAATCAGGTCAGCCGTGGTGCAGTTGGGGCAAGCAGGCTGGCAGAGAGAGTGGTTAGGGGAGGTCAGGCAGGCAGGCTGGTGAGCGGTTAGGAACCAGTGGTCCCAGATTGTGAGAGGGATGTCCGGCAGCCAGTTTAGGAATTGGGCCTAAACCAGCAGTTGGACATCCCCTGAGGAGTCCCAGATTGGAGAAGGTGCAGGCTGGACTGAGGGACAGCCCCTCCCCCCATGCGTGAATTTCGTGCACTGGGCCACTAGTCTATACATACACCCCCCCCCCACACACACATATATATTATGCTAAGTGTCTGACCATTCAATTGGTTGCTATGATGTGCTCTGATCACCAAGGGGCAGATGCTTAATGCAGGAGCTGCTGTGTCGCACACAGAGTAATGGGACTTGGCGCCCACAAAGTTACACTTAGCTTCCCCCAAGTGGGACACAGACTCTGCCACCACCCCAGAGTGACAGCCCACCAAATCACAGCCAATGCTGCAAGACCCTATGGTGCAAGATGCAGCCGACAGTCCAGCCCAGCCCAGAAATGGTCGCTTTGGGCACCATGTAATAACATCATGTAGTAATGACTGGCTTTCTCTCCCTAATAAAGTCTAGCCTCCTTGGAGTTTCTTCAGCTCAGGAATACTACTTGCTTTATAGCTAGGTGGAAACATTTCACATGTTAACAAAATGTCTGTGAAGCCTTTTTCCATGTCTCATCTCATTTGATTCTTGCTGTGACCATGACTAGGCTTCAGGATCTAAAGGAGGGGCCGATGCACAAATGAAAATACTATACAAGAAATATGAATTTATAAGGCATTTCTTGGATACACACCAAAACTGGGTCCTGCCCTCTAGCAATGTATACAGGCATATCAAAGGTGAAGCTTGGTAAACAGTAAAAGGATTATTAGGTTAGGGGATTGCCTTGAGCCATCATCTCAACACTAGATAAGCCCTGCTAATGCCCAAGGTCCATTGACCTTCCATGTTTCTTGGTGCACAGACAGTATTGGCAAGCAGTGGCTTTCCGAAGATCCTCACAGAAGTCCTGGAGTAGGTAGATAGGAGAGTCGGTGGAATACTATTTTCTTTTCATTAGCCAGAAAACGGAGATTTAGAAAGCCTAGAAACTTGACCCGACTAAAAAGAAGTAAGTAATGGTGGACCTTGAAAATGACTTCAGGTTTTCTCACTGTGCAGAATATAGTCAAACACTACTGCAGTTAAATATTTTACCTTTAGTTCTCCCTGTGTGGTCTACAATAATAATTTGCTTTGTGTTGATATTTGCTGTGTTGCTGACAGCTACCTGAAAGAGAAATTGGGGTGCTTCACAGGGCTGGAAAAAGTTTAACTAAATCAGAAAGCAGGTCTAATTAAGCAAGTTTATTCTATATCTATAAAAAGCTAAGTTGACTTGCACATGTGTGATACATATGAAGCTCTCACTGGTGGCAATCACATGCATGTGTTTGGATCTGCCATTGTTGATCGTGAATTTGTTTGGCACTTCTATTATAAAGGGCGAATAGTAATATTAAAATATTTCTTCAAATTAATTTTCTCTCAGTGTGCACAAATTTGTGTACAGGGCCACTAGTTAAATAATAACTCCCTCTTCTCCCCTCCTTTGCTCCTGGCAGACATTATTCTTTCTGTTTCTATAAAACATTGTTTTGAGATTAAGTTTTTTGTCATTAGTGAGACTCCTCAAAGTTCCACTAAATTATTTTTATGCTAATTATGCCACATATACTCAGATTATTTACATAGTTAAGAACTTTAAATTCTGAAACTGTATCCAAAATTTTGTCCTTATTTGTCTTTTTTAATTTTATGTTTTAATTGTAGTTTACATTTAACATAATTATGTGTTAGTTTCAGATGTACAGCAAAGGGGTTCTTGAGAGATATTCCAGATTTCTCATTAACTGTAGAGATTTGGACCATTCTTGTTTGATTATTTTTCAAAATAATTCAAGGTTTCAATTTTTAAGTTGATAAGTTGATGTGTAATTTGTAAAGAAGAAAAAGGTAAAAGGAACTTTAAATATGTTGAAGTCTTATTGTTTTGAAATATGTTTACTTGCTATTTTGAAAAAGGTCAATGATTATTTTAAAATATCTTTTCTATTTCTTTTCCAATTCTCTTCATTTGGGGAGATTTGGTTTTTGTTTCTCTTCTCCACTTTACTATTTTATACTGCATATATATTTTGTCAACTTTGCATCTTATCATAAGTGTAAATATGAAATAAAAGATTTCCATACATAATAACCTATCATGGAGTTTATTTTATTTTATTTTATTTTATTTTATTCATATTTTCCTTCAGCACATATTTGATGACTATCGTTTAGTAAACATTGGATATACTACAAAGAAGAATAAGACATGGTTTTTGTCTTTAAAGAGGTAAAAATTATACCTAGATGGGTCTAAATAAATTATTATGTTTGAAATAAGGGTAAATAAAGAAGAAATTGGTCTTGGTCCAAATGAGAAATAGTGGAGAAAATCAGAGTCCAGGAACTGCAAGACCCATTGGTGAGCGGCCAGCTGTGGTTAGATATGGATGAAAAAGCAGAATTGTACAGACAAGGAGTTGCTAGTGATGAGGCTTGAGCATGATTGAAGCATAGCTTTTGAAGGCCTTTACTATGATAACAAGCACACCCTACAAACAGAGAGTTCTTAGACATTTTTAAGTCTTAGAGTGAAAGACAGTATCTGAGACTATTAGGTGATGTTAGCTACTCATATTACATAGTAATTAAATGCAATGTGAATGCATTTATAGTTCTATAATTTAAAAATTTCCATTAAGTGGTTTTTCATAGATTTTTGAGAAATACTATTTCAAAAATATTGACTGTGTATTCTAATATATTTTATATTTGACATATTTAAAAGTAGCATTTACCTTCACTTTATGTCTTTTAATTTCTTTTTTTCCCAGAGATAAGGAAGACTGGATGGATGAGGAACTAATAGAATCCCTGAAATATGCTGAACAACTTCCTGTAGCTCAGATAATACACCAGGTTTGCTTCCACTTTATTCATTTTAAAGAAACAAGTTTTTTAATCTCTGAAAAGTAATTACTTTTGTTAGGTTTTTCAGAATCAGTGTGCTATTGCTGAAGGCATTCCAGGCCGTCTATTCCTGTTTAGACTCTACCTATTACAGTTGGGAGTCTTTTTCAAAGCACAATATTAAATGGCTGCTTGCTGTGTAACAGTCGAATTCTTACTTATATAAAATACAAGGTAAAATCAGAATTATCTTTGTGCATTACTTAACAATAAGACTTAATTTCAGTAAACTTTCATTTGAACCATTGTATATAGTACTTATTACTTACTGACAAGGGAAAAGAGTTGAAAAAATATAATTTGGTGTAATTTTTTTGACTAGCTAAAATGAGAAAACAGTATTTCTCTACTTTTTCTGTACCACCCCATTATCAACTCTTGGGAAGTGTAATTTTAGATGTCATGTGGGCAGTTTTTTCATTTCTAATTATAATGACTCTCATCTCTTCTACATAGCTGTAATTTTAGAAAAGGCAGTGTGATAAGTATTTAAACTTACATTTTATATTGTGATTTTGACAGCATTTAAAGTCTGCCTTGCTGGGCTAGAATATAACAATTTGAAACAATCTGGTGACAAGAGTTATGGCCTTTAGACTTATCAGAATTTTCAGAATCTATAGGTAATAGAAAAGATTAAAAGCCCTTGGAGGTCAGAAATTTTTAGAATTTTAATAAATAGTATTATTATAAGTCTTTCAATATGTCTTTGTTAAACGTAAGAGTTTTTATTTAGCTGATATAGGTTGATTAGAAGATGTGCCAATTTGAACTTATTAAAAGAAACAGACTTTTACTTTAAAATGTTGGCTATAGAGATCTTTGCATTGACATTAAAATTTAATATTAAAATTCTGTGAGACATAAAAAATGGTCAGAAATTTGCCCCTTTGGGGAAGCATACCTGTACTTGGTAATCAGGTCCTGTTTATATGTCAGGAATTCCCTAGAGTTGTCAGAGCCTAAGTGACCTAACAGTCTGCAAATGTCACATTTAAAATTCTGTCTTCATGCCTGACTCGTAGCATAAATGAATTAAAGAGCAGAGCAGGAGCAAGTCAATATGTTCTTAACTGTAAGAGTGAGCAATGAAACAGATTGTGGTTTGTTCAGAATAGGTAAATAGATGCTGCCTAGATCAGTTCACCTACAATAAAATCTGAAACAGGAAGCAAGAATTAACCTTTAAGATGGTTGATAAATGAAATGTCAGTCATATTTTTATAGTAGGGAAGATCCAATAAACTATGGTTTATGTAACAACTGCATTTTGCTGTTATAGACTGTATGTTCAAAGATGAAAATTCTTGATCCTGATGAGAACTTTTATAATATTTTTGCAGTATAAAAAGCTGTATTAATTTAAGCACAGTATAAAAAGCTGTATTAATTTAAGCACATAATAGTTATAATTCTATAGTGCTTGAATTAATAAAATATTCTGATTTTTATGAAATTTGCATGATAGGGATTCATTTTATTTTATTTTTATTGAATAAAATTACTTCTGTTCTCAAGGAGTAATCAGGAAAGGTCATTGTTAAACCAGACTCTTATCTATTCCTCTTGCTACTTCCCTTTACAGTCAGTACTACAACTTTGGGACTGTTAGCTTTGTCTATTGTTAAGAAACATGAATTATGTTGCTGGAAATTCACTAATAAATGGATTATTTGACTGCAACTTTCCCCCCTAAATGCATGTGATATAAGGTTCAGCCAATCCCACAAAAGCTTTTTAATCTGTAACATATGTAAATTATAGTATTATTATAGCATATATCTAACCTCCACTTGAAACTATTTTTATACTACAGTAACTATTTTCCTCTAATCTTGTCACATGATTTATCTATTTATATTTTGGAGCACATGTGTCATTTCTATTTGAAGTAATGTTATTTATTCACATTTTCTATCTCCTACTTGACTGTCATTCTGGACATTCTTGATATTCCTTTCAGCATCTTGCCTTGTACCATGTATGCGCGCATCTGAATGGATTGATAGGTATTTTTAATGGTATCCTGAGAGTCAGGAGCACTTCTTTTCTCTACTACTCAGGAGCCAGAATCAGGGCCTTTCATTAGTAGCAGTTTAGAAGCTGCTAGAAAGGAGGAGCAGGAGTGAAGGCTGTAATGTGAGGTTCTTATAAGTGTATTTCTAATATCACATGAGCTCAGTCATCTAGGGGAAATGATGAACAACATAGACTGATGAACAAGATCAGCATCGATCAGACTGTTCGACCTCAGAAGGGAGGAAGGGGAGGGCGGAGATAGGGGAGAGAGATCAACCAAAGGACTTGTGTGCATGCATATGAGCCTAATATACATGAGTCACGGACAGCAGGGGGGTGGGGTATGGGATGGGAATTGGGGGGATGAGGACAAATATGTGATACCTTAATCAATAAAGTAATAAAAAAAAGAAATAGGGGAGAAATGGGTCTTAGTCACGAGTAATTAATATCTTGTGTAGGTTACTCAGATTGCATTTTATTAGCAGGAGTTAGACAAGATCCTTCTTATTGCTATTTTATATTGCCTAACTATTTTTTAGGGGTCCTAGCAAATAAGATTGTACATCTAGGAAACCCATGAGAATCAAGTTATAAACAATAGAATTCATCAGGTAGCCAGATACAAGATAATAAAACTAATAGCTTCTCTTTTTTGCAATAAACACATAGAATGAAAATGGGAAACATTTTCTTTCACAACAATGAAAAGAACAATAAAATACTTAGGAGTAAATTTGATAAGTTAATCAAAGGACATATGTAATAATCATGGGAACATAATATGTTTCATAAACAGAAAGGTATACTAAATTATTTGATGATATGGGGAACTTAATACAAAAGTATAAATTTTCCCAAATTATTGATTGTAGTTAGAAGGAAACAAGTTTTGTGTGTGTGTGTGTGTGTGTGTGTGTGTGTGTGTGTGTGTGTGTGTCTAATGTTAGGAAAAAATGACTGACTTCTAAATGGATACAGACTTTCTATTTTTTTTTTTTTGAGTGATAAAAATGTTCTAAACCTAGATAATGATTATCATTGCATAGCTTGGTGAATATGCTAAAACCTTTGAGTTGTACACTTAAAGGGTGAACTTAAGGTATGTGAATTATATTTCAGTAAAGGTATTTTAAAGTTAAAAATCATCCATTTTTGGCAGAGATGCTAGGAATAAGATTCTTGTATACCTGGGAAGATATCTAGATTATTTTTACATTCTTAGAAGCCATCTTGCAACATGTTTTTCAAAAAAAAAATATATGTATATATGTATGTATTCTTCCATATATATATATATTCTTCAATACAGTGATTCCATTCATGAGTATCTAGCATGTACCACTAACATATAAATAAAAGAACTAATATAAAAGAATTGTAATACAATGTCATTCATATCAGCCTTACTTGTGACCATAACAAATTAGAAACAATGTGAATGTCCCTAAGTGATACAGATCACTTAGCTAACCTAGAAACCCCAGTATGTGTGTGGATTATATCAGTGATAAAGATCACATTACAGATCAGTGAGAAATTAAGGAATATTCATTAAATGATGTTGGAACAATTGATTATTTTGGAATAAAAGATTAAATTCTTGCTTTATAACACATAAAAAATGTCTAAGTGGATTGTAGATCAATACAAAATATGGAAAATACCAAAATAATTAGAAAAGTATATTGATAAATATATGTGTAAAAGGACATTTTAACCATGAAAATAATAACAGAAACTACAAAGGAAAATGGACATATTTGACTTTGTAAAAAATGTAAAGCTTCTATGCATCAAAATAAAAAGGCAAAAGAAAGTGGAATACTGGTTTTCTCACAATATCATTTCAGAGAATGATAAGGAGAAAATCTAACACCATAATGAGAAGGATCAAAGAACTTACATATGCCTTAAAAGTTAAAATAAATATGTCTAATAAACTGGTAAGAACATGTTAATATTCATTAATAAGCTAAGAATTGTTTATTTTAATCATAAAGTACCATTTGAAAAAATCTTTTTGATTAGCAAAGATATGAAAAATGATAATACTCAGTAATGACAAAATGCACATTCTATTAGAGAGGAGGGTAAATTATACAAATTAAAGACAATATGGAAATTTTTAACAAAGTATAAAAAGATATAAATAAGTATGAAAATATATTAACATGGCTAAATGAATACACACGTGTGTTCTCCTTCCTGAAAATCCCCAATAAAATGACCATGAAGACATAAAAATACATAAACCCCAAAAGACAAAGAAAATGGAAGAGGAGAGAATAGCAGATAAGAAGCAACAAAAATTAGAAGAAAAATAGTTGAACCAATGGTAACCAACTTAGAATGAAAGAGCTGAACCCTAACTTCCATCATGGGGGAGACCTGTAAGAATGAGCCAATTTTTACTGCAGAATCCTGGAGAAGCAGGCACTAGGTATCTCAGGCAGACACTAATCTTCCCTAGAAATATTAGCCTAATAGAAAATAGTGCACATTTTGACATTTGTATAACCCCAGTTTAATAGCCATGTCTTAGTCTGTTTGCCCCACTAGAAGCCCAGTAATCGACAAGTGCTGCTAATAATACATAAAAGTCTTCTGACCAGTGTTTTAATTTTCTTTTAACTATGAAAATGCAACCAAGAATCATCAGACTTTTAGGGAATATCTTCATTATGAAAGACAAAGATCAAAATAAGCAAATGAAAATTTGCAAATTAGCAAATACAGAAAATGCCAGTCACTGAAAAGTCATCATCGTCATCACCATGGCCACCACCACTTATGAAAGAGATGAGAAGATATTTTATTTATGAAACAGGATACTATACAAAAAAAGAATATTCAGAAAACAAGGAATAGCTCTTAGAAATTAAAGCTATGAAAGTAGAAATAAAAATTTCAGTAGAAAGTTTTGAAGT